GCTTGTTGTCTCCCATTAGATTGTGAGCTCCTTGAGGTCAGGGATGATCTTTAGCCTCTTTTTCTATCTCCAATGCTTAGCACAGTGCCTGCTATATACTAGTGTTTAATAAATGTCTATTGACTGGCTAACTGCTATCAAGAAGATTATATTCTCCTGGGGAGATATATGTTCATGGATAAGTAAGTACAATATAATTTGAGGAGGAAGTTAAGTATTCACAACTAAAGGGATGAGAAAAGGCTTCAAAGAAGAGATGACACCTGAGCTGCTGCTTAAAGGAAGCAAAGGAAACTAAGAGTGGGAAGTGAAAAGGAAGTGCATTCCTGAAATGGAGGAAAGCCTTTGCAAAGGAAAAGAGGGAAGGGGAGATGGCATGTCAAATGGGGAGTAGTCTCATTTGGCTTAAATGTAACATGTGTGAAAGGGAATAATATAAAATGTTTGAAAAGGTGGTGGGATTGAGGTTTGAAACAATAGACTAAAGAGTTTATGTTTATCCTAGAGGCAATAGAGAGCTACTGAAGATTTTTGAGCAGGATAGTAAGGTGGTCAGACACATATTTTAATAGTAATTTGGCTGCTGTGTGAAGGATGACATGGAAACTAGAACAAGACAGACTAATTAAAAGGTTTCAGTATAGGGTCAAGGGGTGTGTATTTGTACATGTTTGTTGCTTGAGTATCTGTGATTTCTATTTATCTTCCTTGTTTCCCCCTTGTTATCCTCACCCCATGATACCCTTTAGGAAAAATTATAAATAAGTCACTAATTGATTGGTCCCTAGAGACAGAGAGTAATATAGTCCTCTGTTTAATATACCAGTCACAGTCAAGTAGTTCCTCTAGCTGGTTACCTTACAGTTCTGTCTTCTTCCCAGGGGAGAGGAGAATGGAATGGTGAGGAGAGAAGTGTTCTCCAGGAGAACACTTAGAAAAGGTTGAGCAGGGGATCTAGAACTCATATACCTTATAATACACATCTTCTAAATCCTTCCTTTAGATGAGAATGATAAAGTCTGTTCATAAGAGGTCTCAAGGAATCTAGTTATTTCCCCACCTCTCCATCAGTAAGTTGCCTTGGAAAGATGACAAGTGAAAGAGGCCCTGTCTCCTTGCACCCTGATGAGGTCAGGGGAATGAATGGCCAGTCTGCAGACAACCAATTATACCTGACAGATAGGTCTAATGGACAGGTGGCCCACCCAGGCCTCAGGCCTAGCCACATCAAGCTCTTTCCACATAAATGGCAGCTCAATGGGAGATACTTCCCCCACGAGTAACCTGCCCAACAAACGCTCCAAAGCTCATCATTTAGAACCTAGGCTGAGGTGGGAGCTGGTGGATGGGAGACAAGAAAGACCTGGTCACTCTGGGAGCTTTCCAGAATTAATCCTACCCAGGCCCTTTGCCAAGCTAGGAGCACAACCTAGGAGTCTCCACACTTGGGCTGTCCTAGCCCAAGACTGGAGGGAGGGGGCTGGGCTGGGCTGGGGTGGGGTTGGGGGTGGGGTGGGGGGTGGGAGGGCCTCTTTCAGAACTGCCATTCTCATAGAAACCTCTCTACTCAATTCCTCCTACCAGGATCCTAGGTCTGACTCTAGCTATCTACCCGCCCGCTCCTGTTTTCAACTTCTCGGCTCTCTTGTCCTTCCTTCTCTCTCAATTTCCCCTTTCTCTCCTAAGCTTCACCTACCCTGAGCAGCCCCACCCAGCTGTGCCGGGCACATCCCATAATAGTCAGCCTTCCCCCCCTAGTTCTCCCCCCCCTCCAAAAAGAGGCGGTCATCCCATAATAGCCACCCACAGGAGACATTCCGCGGTGACCGCCCCCTCCCTGCGGAGCTGCCGGGAGCCGCCATCCCATAATAGTTGTCTGCTTGTTTTACTGGTTACTGCTGTGAAGGGACCTGGAGAGGAAAGAGAGGGGAGGAGGGATAAGGAGCAAGGGTCTCCCCTGGGGGAGGACAGTGGAAAGCTTAGGCTGGGGGTGGTGACAGGTAGAGGGGAAGGATGTACAGGTGTGGGGAGCGACAGGCTGTCTGTCCCCCGTTACCTTGGAATGGGATCCCCACCCACCCACCCTAGAGGTGGCGACATGTCAGAGAAACTGCTGGGGCAGCTTAAAAAAAAGAAAAACCGAGGTGTTTGGGGGAGGGGGATTGGTTATCAGGTGTTCCCCCAGGAAGACAATGGTTTGAGTGAAAGGGTTGACCTTAGAGAGTAAGGGGGGAGGGGCAAAGAAGAGCTTTCTTATCCTCCCCACTCTGCACCATCATCCCATAATAATCCTCCAACCCCACTCCCCCTCCCACACACACACCATCCCATAATATTTCCCAGAGAGGCAGTCCTGCAGTAGGTACAAAGAAGCATCCCATAATAAGCTTCCCTACCCCACCCATTCCACTCACCAGGCTACCTCCCCCTCGGTCACATGCAGTCGGTGCCAACTCCCCCCTGCTCCCCCCTCTGGCCACCAAAGGCCTTGCCAGCCCATAATATTCCTTCCTCCCCCTTCCTCCCCCCTTCCCACCCCGCACCCCTTCCTCCTGCCTCCAGTTGGATCTGAGCCTCACCAGCCCATAATATTGGCCAGTCTCCTAAGGCTGCTCCAGCCCATAATACTCTCCATGTCTCCTAAGGCCTCTCCATCCCATAACATTGCCAGAAGCCTGACCTGTGGGCCAAATCCCAAGTCTGTTCCACACATCTCAGCTGTGTCAGCACTGGTCTCTCTCTCTCTCTCTCCCTCCCTTCCATCTTCCCTCAATCTAGTTCACCCTTTTCCAGACTCTTTCCAATCCTTTTGTCCCAGACTGCTTTCCCCCCTCTCCCCACAAATCTCAACCTATCTGGATGCCTTGGTCCTGGATACATCTCTAATGTCCTTCGTTGCCCTTTCTCCCTAGTCTGGTTTCTCTCAGGTTTTTTTTTCCTCTCCTTTTCATATACATGTATATATATTATATATATAATACACACACACACACACACACATATATATTATATATATATTTCCTGGAACCCTCAGGAAGGTAAAATTACACCAGAAGGCAACAGGGCATTAACCTTGTGGCTCATGGAAAAACCTGCATTTCAGGGAGAGAGGCTGCTACCTTTAAAACTTTCCCTAATGACCTGACATTACAATACTTTGCTTGGCCTGCTTTGCACACTCTGTTCCCCAGGCCTGAATCCCCAATATCAGATACTCCCTTTTTAAGTAGAGGAAGTCCTAGTTTTCCTCCAGAAATACTTGCTTGATTATCCTCACATTTCGAGGTATCAAGCATGGGTACCTTTAGGATTCCCAACCCTTTGCAATATACTTTTCCTTTGACAGCCTCAGTCTGTCTCCTACCCCTGGAGGAACAAGGCAAGCCACCCTTTCACTGTTTACACTTTCATGGTTTACAATGCATAGATATCTCTTGGGGTAGAAAGACTTAGTGTAGTGGAATGACCCTGGGATTTAGGGTCAGCCCAGGTTTGAATCTCATCTCTGTCACTTCCTGTGTGGCCTTGGACAAATTGCTTAACCTTTATAAGCCTTAGTTTCCTTATCTGTAAAATGGGCATAGAATCCATGGAATTATTGTGAGAATCAAGTGAGATAACTTATGTGAAACTGCTCAACAAATACAAACTACTATTAGCTTCAGTAAAGTTCAGACTTCTTTGTCAGGCATTCAAGGCCTTTCACAGTTTAGCGTCACCATATCTTTTCAGGTCTAGCTCACAAAATTTCAGTTTTGGAAGGATCCTCAGAGGACACCTAGGCTTACTTACCTACCTGAAAAGAATTCCCTCTACAGCACACCCAACAAGTGGTTATCTAGTCTTTGGTTAGAGATCTCTAATAAGGGAGGAACTTACTACTTCCAGGGCAGACCATTCCACTTGAAAGCAGCTCTGATCGCTAGAAAATTTGTCCTTTGGAGACTAAATCTGCTTGTCTGCAACTTGAACCCTTACTTCTCATTCTGCCCTATGAAGCAGAGAGAACCAAGTCAGTTACCTCTTCTACAAGCCAGTCCTGAAAATACACAAAGACAACTTATTTCCCCTGTCTCCACATCTCTTTTCCAGGCTGAACATCTCAGTTCCTTCAATGAATCATTATACACATGCACTAGACCACTAAGAAATACTTTCCACAAGCCCTTGTTCAGCTTGTTCCTAATACTCGTAATGTTTTCCTTTCCCCTCTTACCTATTGAATAGTTCCATCCTGATTTGAAAATCCTGCTCAAATGGCTTCTCCTCTTTGAAGCTTTTCCCCCTCTCCTCAGAGTTCTTGATTTGGTTTTGTCCCTTTCAAATGCACTTCTAGTGTGTTATAGTTATCTGTGTGTGTGTGTGTGTATGTATGAATGTATATGTGTGTGTGTGTATATATATTTGTAATAAATCCTTGTTATTACATTGTAAGCTTCCTGAAGACACTGTTTTTGCTGAACTTTGCATATTCTCTAGCATCTAACATTGTCATCTTCATACAGAATGTATTTAAACTTTTGTTGAATGGATTAATGAAGAAATAATTTTCCTCAAATTTTTACTTCAAAGAAAAGATACTCTTATTCTTTCCTTATTTTAGAGAACATAATTGGCTAATGAACATAAGTCAAGGCAGATTTTTTTGGCCAGCGTTCACTAGAGGTTTCTTTCCCCCTGCATCCAAAGTGGGACCTTCCCAGCATTTTTCTGTGTTGTGTGGACTAGATATATATTTTTGATGAATCTTTTCAGGGAATAGGGAGGGGACCCAACAAGTCCTGAAAATGAAATTAAAAAGTCTAGCATGCTAATTTAGATTGCTCTTGTCTGAGCCTACTATTTTCCTAAACTTTAGAGAAACTCAGAGTGCAAAACAGTCCTCCTGTAAATGGACTTCACATAATTCATAATCAGACTAACTTTATGGAACAGGAAAGAGGAAGCAGGGTGTTTGTGTGTATGTATATGTGGGTGACCGTGCTCCAGAGAGCTTGCACATGCATATATGCATAAAGGGCTGTGTTAATACGAAAGTGAAGGTGGAATTAGGGGCAGGGATGGAGATGGACACACAGAAAGGTTATTTCAGGCACGTTAGTTGTAGAAAAAATGTAATGGTATCCAGAGCAAAACAAGGAAGCTGTGGGTCAGATAAGACTAGTCCCTTCATGTAAGTATCATAGTTGAGACTTTATCTTCCTTCTTCAGATTTTTTTTCCTGATAAGATCTCAAGATTAAGGTGTGAGAATCATAGATTTAGATCTGGTAAGAATTGTAAAAGAGCCCCCTCTCCACTCTTCATTTAACAAACGAGGAATCTGAGACCCCAAGAGTCACATAGGTAGTGACAGAAATAGGATTTGACCCTAAGTCATCTGATGATAAATACAGTGCTCCAGCTGTATATCATGATGCCTCTGGAAGAGAAGACAGAGAGAAGAAAGAAGGCAATATAACTGATTTCTGACCTGGAATTAGGGAAGGAAATAAGGTCCTTTAAAAAGGAACTCAGGGGCAGCTAGGTGGCTCAATGGATGGAGCACTGGCCCTGAAGTCAGGAGGACCTGAGTTCAAATTCGACCTCAGACCAAACACTTGACACTTACTAGCTGTGTGACCCTGGGCAAGTCAGTTAACCCCCCCAAAAAAAGAACTCAGAGCACCTGAAGAAGGTGAGCAGGCAGAGGATTCAAGGGTGGGGGACCCACCTCCACTCAGTGTCTCAGTTTCTCCATGAAAAAATGAGGTACCTTCCACCAATAGGGCCAGCTCAAAGGATGAGGGGCTCCTAGTGCCCTATACATTATCCATTTCCCTAGACTTGGCCACTCTTTTTTTGCCCTGTCAGTAAGTGTCACAAAAACTATGGAAAGGAGCCCATATAGCAAAAGGAGCCCACATTTTTTGTTGTAGGAGCTTGCAGAGTCCCAGGAAGGGTGCAAACCTGGTTCCTTGTGGCAGGATGAGAGCCATTATGGGCGCTAACCGCCAGCCATCCTCCTAGTTTAGCAGGAGAGAGTGGGCAGAAGAATCTGAGCCAATTCTCCAATTTGGCCACCAGGGGTCATTTTACCCTTAAAAATCACACAGTTTGGAATGCCCTCGAAAGGACACACAGAAGACCCTTCGTCAAGCAAGGATGACACAGAGAGAGAAATACACACACAAAGGGTAACATGTACATAGAAATATACACATAAGGAAACTGAGACTGTGACACAGAGGCAGAAGATACTTGCAACACCTCACTTTACCCTTCTGGTTGGAATTTTCTCGTGGGTGGTTGTTATTAGTGTGTGGGTGGTATGGCAGTGGGGGCAGGGAGCATGTTAACAATTTAAGAAGCCCAGCATACTCCTGCCTATGGGAGGCCCTCATTTTCCTGTCTCCCCTTCCCGGTCCGCTGACTCCTCCCTCTCCCTCCCCCCTCCTCTTCCCCTCTCCCCACGGCAGCTTTCAGGATAAGCTTCTGACATCGGACATTTCTCCCTTTCATTTCTCCGATGGTTCTCCTTTCTCTTCCTGGCTTTGCCTCCCCACCTCCAAATATCTCCCCAATGATGCAGGAGATTCTACTATTATTGCCACATTCCTTTAAGCATTGCCCTCTCCCTGTAATCCTATTTTTAATCTTTAAATAAGTTGAGTTTGGGGTTTGGGGATCGTAGTCACTGAATAGCTCTCACTTAGGTAAGGCAAATGAATTGATCAGGTCACTTTTGTTCTCAAAGGCAGAAGAAACATGGTAGATGAAGGCCCAGGGTATTTGTGTTGGGTGTGGGTGAACAAGATCAGGAACTCTGATGATAATTTCTCTGCCTCACAATTTTGCCACAAACCAAGCCTGACCTTGTCTCATTATCCCACGTCAGAGCTTAGAGATAGATTATTCTAGGCCACACAACAAAAAGGAAATTGACTCTGTAGAGTCTACCTCCAATTTTATTAATCCTTATGACTACCCCATCCCTCCCTACCACCCCACCCTCCTAAACAGAATAAAGGTGTCCAAGGCCCAGTGGCATGAGGAAGCACCACTTACAGAAAAAATTCTAGTGAGGAGACTTTTCAGCAGGTTGTTCAACTGGGTAACTTCAAGTGGGCCAAATTTAGAACTTGGGCATCGGAAGGAGGGAAGGATTTCTCCTCTTCTTCCAGAAAGATGGTTCCATAGCACTCCTTCTTCTTTATACTTATACTTTGTTTGTTCCTGGAAATAAGGGCTAAGGTTGAAACCTGAGTCTGGGTACCTGATCCCTTCCCCACACTGCCTTGCTCATTTGCAGTCTCATAATGGGGATGAGAAGGGAGCTGAAGGGAGAAGGTTAGCCAGTGTCTGTGCTCAGGTGGTTGAATCCTTGATGGACTGACTGAATGACTTCCAGAGGTGTATGTGAAAGCAGCTCACTGTGAGAGGCATCCTCAAGATTAGTGGAGGCTGTACCACTTTCCCGATGCCCACGTAATCCTCGAGGCCCGTTGGCAGCTCTAACTTTTACCCATCGTGTAGTTCTCAGGCTTCGAAGGGTATTTCGGAAGCCCTCCGCACTGAAATAGTATACAAGGGGATCTAAGACGCAGTTGGCACTAGCCAACACTAGCAACACCACCAACACCTGGCGCACCCTGTTCCGGGCATCAGAGCTGGCATCTACCAGCTTTCCCCGAAGTAGTCCATAAACAGCCAGGGTGGTATTGTAGGGCACAAAACACAGGAGGAAAATGACCAGGTTAGCCAGTAGAAGGTGTACCGTTTTCCTACGGCGTTCATTCCTGGTGGTACTGGGCCGGGCCAAGGTCCAAAAGACCCGACTAGAAGAGTAGACCATGGTTATCAAGGGCAGTATGAAACCCAGCCCTTCAGCAAGAAGTACCAAGGGCAGCAGCTTGCCCTGCCACAAGTTCTCACTGAAGCTCTCAAAGCACAGGTAGACAGTGGTGTTCTTATAATAGCAGGGTGAGGGGGCATGGACCCGAACAGCAGGCACAGCGCATACCAGGATCAAGGCCCAGACACCCAGGCAGAGTAATCTTGCCACCATAGGCCGGCGTAGGTGGCGGAGCCGCAGTGGGTGGACGATTGCAATATAGCGGTCCATATTGATGAGGGCCAAGAAAATGCAGCTGCCATACATATTCATCTGGAAGGCAGCCCCTGCCGTCTGGCACAGCAGGGCTGGGAAGGGCCAGTAGTGAAGGGCATAGTAGGATAGACGTAGGGGCAAAGAGAGGGTAAAAAGCAGGTCACTAGCTGCCAGGTTACACATGTAGACACTGACCACTGAGTGGACTTGTAGGACTCGGAGGAAAATCCATAGTGCCAAGGCATTGAGGGGTAGACCGGCGACAAGCACCAGACTATAGCCCACCAGATATAGGCGATGGTTAAAGCGGTAGTCAGGACACATGGGGATAGTGGCATTGGAGGTGTTGGCCAACATTTCCCCAACTGATGGGCTAAGCTAAGTACATTATCCCTTACGCTGGGCAGGAAGGGCCAGGTACGACCAAGATGGAGTATAGGGAGCAGGGAGAAGCCAGATATTCCAGTGCTCCTCTTTTGTTACAATGGGGACCTGAAATGTGAAAGGAAGCCCAAGTTCAATAGCCAGAAAGGACATACACATATACATATCATGACATACTCAATATCTGAAGCAGGAGCAGGAAGTAGGACTTCTTTCTATTTTTTTATTTTATTTTATTTTTTTCAGAAAGTCCTGAAACCATCCCACTACTTTTTCAGGTTAGCCTAAATCTGTACCCAGATATAAATGAGTTGACTTCCTCCTTTCTCTAGTTGAAATTATACATAAACCATCCTACTTCCCTTTTTCCCTCTTACTTCAAGCCAGTGTTTCTTTCACACACATATACAATCTTCTCCCTTATTTATGAAGTCCTCTGAGCACTTAGGTACTCAGTTTACAATCTCCTGGTAGGTTGATGAGCACTCTTTCCATTATATCTCCATTTTCTCCAATTAGATGGTAAGCTCTTGAGGGGTTCATCTACTTTCCTACACTTTCCACTTCCATAGCCCCTAATGCAGGGCTCTGTCCATAGTAGGTAGTCGATGGAATTTGCTAGGTTGTCAAAACACTAGGATGCAATTGTCACATCCTGTCAGAGACATATCCTGTATCTTAAGCATCCTATCATCTTCTCAAGTGTTATGTCACAACTATGTAGAAGATTGGGTTCCTGAAAAGCTTTATATAAATTCAATTTTCTTCCTAACTTCCATTCTAATTGAGAGGGCTTTAGCGGCCTTTCCTATAGGAAAGCTACAATATGTAACACTTTTAAAGATTAGATAATAATTGCACTGTGCTTAGCACAGTGCCAGGCACCTAGTAAGTGCTATATAAATGTTAGCTATTATTATTATATTATTATATTCTGCTGCGGTCTCCACAGGCCCTCTCCATCAGGTCGTTAATGACTTATAAACACAGTGCTCGGCACATAGTAGGCACTTAACAAATGCCAGTTGATTAGACACATACATGAAACAGGAGAACTACTATTTTAAAAGCGAAACTAATTTTACCCCCCAATATGATTGCCATGGCAAAGCCCTTCACTGATTTTTTTTATATATTGGAATTCTCTGGGTTTTCTGAGCTTTGCCCCTTTCCCTACCCTAGCCTCCTTATCCCCTTCTCTGACTTGATTAGTTCCTAGGGCCTTGCAGTGGGGCAGGTGGGCGCTGTGCCAAGACAAATGGGAAAGAGAAGGAAAACTGAAATGGGTGGGGGAGGAGAAGGGAATAGATTGGGAGCAGCTGAAATCTCCCTCCTCTAACCAACACATCTGGTGAAAAGAGAAGGCCCCGTGTGTACGTATGGGCGGGGTGGGGCGGGGCGGGGCGGGGGGGGGGGGGGGGGGGGGGGGGGGGTGCAGGTAGGAGAGAACAGGCCGGGGAGCAGAGACAGAACAGCTGCCCCAGTCCTGGGGCCTCATTTCACCAGACACATCTGAAACCAAGGGAAAAAGAGAGACTCACAGGTACAAAGGGAGATAGACACAGGCCCAGTAACAAGGAAATGTACCCTTAAACTCATAAACCTAGTAAAATGTATAGACACATTAAATAGGGGACACAGAAATGGTCAGTTAGCAAGTATTTATTGAGTGCTTACCCTGTAGGCAGCATTGCTCTAGAACCTGTAAGAGTATATGGACCCTGCCCTCAAGGAGCTTACAAATACACATAGGTGCATACATACATACATACACATACGTACAAATATACACAGAAAATGCAGCTGATACACATCCTACACAGTAAGGTAGATTTACATCGTTGGACGTACTCAATCACCTTGGGCAACTTTCTCCCCCATCCCCCACACAGATTCCAGCATGCAGCAACACTCCTTTGAATCTCCCATGCTCTCTCCCCTCTACATCTCCCACTTTTACCCCGGCCCCAGGCACAGTCTTCTCACCTGTCCAGTATGTCCCTGTGCTCCATCTCAGTGCCCTCTGAGCTGGGCTGGGCTCTGCACACTGCTGAGATAAGTGAGAAGGGCAGGGTTGTCCTATGCAGCAGACAGGAAGTATGAGGGAGATAGCACAGGCCCAAGAATTCCTCCATTCCACCCCCCTCTACACTGGGTACCCCATTGGTGGATGGTTATTGGCTGGTGGTGTTGGTGGGGAGGGAAGGAAAAAGAAAGAGTTTCTGGGCTGAGGTGAGGAGCAAGAAGATGTGCGTATGTGTCAGCCAGAAATAGAAAATCACTTTGCCCCACTTCCTCATTTCTAATAGAAGTACCACCCCTTCATCTCCTACTGCCACAAAATCTCAGTCATCCCTCCGGCTCCTGGGCTTCCTCTCCCCAAGTTCATAATCACCACCTGTCATCCATGGGTTCTAGAAAGACTCTCTCTCTTGTTCCCATAGCTCCACAATTTACATGCCTCTCCCCCACAACTTTCTGGATTTCAGTGGTTTGAGAAAATGCTTTGTAAACCTTAAAGTACTATATAAATGTGAATTATTGTTCTAATTAGCATATTATGGGAAGGATTACCCTCCTGGAGTTCTGAGACAGCTATCCTCTCTCTAGCTCCATTCTGCATTGGCCTCAGGGAGGAGGGAAGTTAGGGAATCCAAAGATTCTTAAAGTCTTGATCGCTTACTGGTGTCTCACCACCCTGACAGTCAGGAAATTCTTTACCGTGCCAGGCCTCAAACTCTACTCTAGTAAATTGAAACTGTTCCCTCTGGTTTGAGTTCAAAGGAAAGACAGAACATACACAGCTGTCTACCCACTCTCTGGCCCCCTGAATAGCCAGGCCTCAGGCACCCTGATGCTCTGCAGCAGCAGGTTTGGCTCACGGTACAGACATGGTTTTTGTAAGCCTTCTTTACAGCGCTTCTGGAAAGCACCCATACATCACATTCAGCCTCTTGTACGAAGTGCAATGCATTTGCCTTCTTCCCAGGAAGGGGTCTTCCGGCATAATGTAGGTGACCCTTTTCATGGGATAGAGAGGTACAGATAGGCTGGGAAAGGATTACAGGGAAAATGAGAGGTAGGATGAAGCAGTGGAAAGGGTGCTAGGTCTGCAGTTAGAGGGCCTGGATTCAGTTCTCCTACTTGGGACCTGTGTGATGTGGGGCAAGTCATTTAACTTCTCAACCTCTGTTTCTTCATCTGTAAAATGAGGTAGTTGAACTGGCCTCGGAGGCCCCACCAGCGCTACGTCTATGATCGTATTAAATGGATCCCTGAAATGGCCTTCGGTTTCACTGATTACTGATTTTTCTGAAGTTGTGAAGAGTTAATCCAACCACTTCATTTTACAGATGAGACGCAGAAGATGTGACTTGCCCAGGGTCATACAACTAGTGAGTGTATGAAGCAGGATTTGAACTCAGGTCTTCCTTACTCCAAGTCCAGTGTTATATGCACTGCAACAACTAGCTGACTCCTAGTGAAGCTAAGTCCCTATCCCAGGCCCAAACCCTCTGTTCTTTCCAGCCTAAAATTGTGTTTTAGCCCTTCTCTGCCCTTCCTAAGATCCATTTATTTCTTCTCTTTTTTTTTTTTTAGGCAGTTGGGGTTAAGTGACTTGCCCAAGGTCACACAGCTAATAAGTGTCAAGTGTTTGGTCTGAGGCCGAATTTGAACTCAGGTTCTCCTGACTCCAGGACCGGTGCTCTATCCACTGGCCACCTAATTGCCCCCCATTTATTTCTTTCTATCACCCAAATAGCCTCTTTATTACTGTTCTCTTCATTCCATGGGGGCTTAGAGCTAGCCTGAGGCCAGGTTTTTGTTTTTTTTTAAGAGGCAACAGAAAGAGCAACTCAGAGGAAGTGAGTCTGAATCTTAGCTCTGGCACTTCCTGTGTGACCTTGGGCAAGTCACTTAACATTTTTGAGCCTGTTTCCTCATCTGTAGAATGAGGATTTTGGACAAGATGATCTCTTAGGTTTTTTCTAGAGAAAGCTTTTAAGTTCCCTAGCTATTCTGACCTCTCTGTTGGCCACCTTGGACAAGGCTCAGCCTCCTGAGAATTGGCCTCACCTGCTTTCTGGATGCTATACATACTCCCTAACTCCCTATTTTTAACAGCTCAGACAACAAATAATCAACTGAGAGGAATGGTTTGATTCATGAAGCGTGACCTTTGTGAGCATGTGTTTGATTTGATGCCCTTAGTAAATGTCAGGTCAGGTCAGCACACATAAAAGGCCCAGCTCAGGACTCAGCTCTTTAATGAAGTTTTCAGTGGCTCCTCTCTCCCCTGAACACCTGTAGCTCCTCCTGCTTTAGGCACAGTTTAACACTCAGATCTCTCATGGTTTCTTCCTCCCTGATATGAGTGAATGTAAAAAAATCTGTGAAGATGGAAATTTAGAGGGAGGAAGGGGAAGAGTCTCTGTCTAGAAAGGGATCTGAGTCCCAATGTTTCCACATAGTATGAGGAAACGTGTCCCTGAGATTGGTGAATTAGTCTGTGAGTACAAGGGTTACCTAGTATAATGGAAAGAGCAAGGAACTTGAATCTAGAAGATTTAGATTTGAGTCCTGTCGTTTACTAGTCTTGTGACTGTAGACAAGTACCTTCATGTCTATGAGCCTCAGTTTCCTTATCTGTAAATTGGTTGATAACATTTAGCCTACCTAGCTCATATGGTTGTTAGGCAGAAAACACTTTGTAAATATAATAAAGTGAAATATAAATATCAGCCATTGTGATTAGTCTTTCTCTGGGTCTCCCCACCTGTCCTTATCTCCATTTTCCCAAAGGTCAGAGTTCAAGAACAAAGTGGCTAAGGGCACAGTCCACAAAAAAAAAAAGCTACTAGCTCTATGTACAGACAAGATAGAAAACTGCATACATGTAGGCTTGGACAAGTGCCATAAAATCACGTCTACCCCAAAATCTCGTCCTCATAGTACCTCCCCTTTAGCTACCTTTGAGTTAAGCCAGTATTTC